ATGGCCATTCCAGATTTCTTTAAGAGGACTACTCAACTTTTTAGTTATCCAAGAGGCGCGGTTATGCCGCAGTTATGCACCTCCTCTGTAATTAAGAAATCGGGTTCACAATTTAACATATTTTCTTTGTTATTTTATTAGTATGCTCGGATTACTTTTGCGAAAAAGGAAAGAAGGACCCTTTGCTGAACTGGTCAGCATCGATCGTGTCTTCTGCGCTTGGCCATTCCAGATTTCTTTAGGAGGCCTATAGTTGTTAGACGGAACCTTTTTTGCCTGATGACGAAACCTCAGTCGAAAGTCGAAACCTTAAATTCTTCTGACGAAATTCGAAACCCTCAAATCCTTATGACGAAAGTTGAAACCCCAAGCTTAAAAAAAAAAAAAAAAAAAAAGAATATTACTAAAAATCTATGTAATTAATGAAGCTCTGGTGCTTCCGTTAAAAAATTGATGAAAATCTATGTTTTCAGAAAGCTAAGCTATTAATAAAAAAATTTTTATATTACGCCACTTTAGAAAATTGATAGTCAATAATATAATTCATGATTCTTATTAACCTCACTTTTTTTTGGGATCTGATCAATTCATTGACACCATATTTCACTGACAATTATTCATTTTCCAATCATTCATTGCATCTTTCTAAATTTTTCACCACACTTCTTTCCATCTTTTATCAGTAATGTTACAGTAGCATTATAGTTTGCAGTGTTTATGTAAATAATATCACAAGAGCCGTTATTGTCTTGTAAATATGATTTTTTGCGTCGTTTATTGATTCCCGTCAAAGCCAAGGTATAAAACGTTTATTCAAAAAAAAAAGATTTTCTTAAATATAATAGCTTTGATTTGCGTGTGGCTGATTACTACGTCAATAACCTGGCACAATTTGAGAAATGCGAAGCTATAACTTATGTTCATAACGATAAATAAAACGGCTTTAATTCATTCCTTATTTAATAAATATTACTTGGCTCGTGAATATCTTGATCAAATACTAGAAAATTATATTAAGTCAAAGAAAAAAAATACAGTATGAGAAAATTTGACAAGCCGACTGCTATCTTAAAATTAATAATTTATCTGAAGAATTATAGAAACAAAGCGAACAAATGAAAACGTTCATTAGAATTTTGTGAATTTATCAATAAGGTGAACCGGTAACATACCAAGGTCATTAATTTCGATAGGCCTATATTTAAATATTAAATAAATATACATTTTTTGGCACGTCCTCCTCCTATATAGTCACACTCTCTTTATAAGCACCATTTTGAAAACTTTATATAATCACATTACTATGAAATTTTATAATCACATCTTTTTTTTTTATGTAAACAAACCGCGTGATTAGCGACTGTATTTATATAACGATAATAATTAATAATTTTTATGAACTACAGTATTTAAAAATGTGACTCCATTAACATTTAGGGTTAGTTGAAAGCTTCAAGTTAAAAAAAATTATATGCGCTTTCATTAGATACTTATGCTAAAAAATATTAATGATTATTTTAGTATAAATTGTCAAAAAAATTGATCAACGATAATGTCTATTATTGCACGCCGTGATCTATTAAAGAAATTCGATTCTTTATAAACTATTGAATGCGACAATTAAGAATCACCTATTTTTAACATCACTACTTGTATACATGGCTATCAAAGTAATGGCGCAAAAAATTGGCAGTCCCGTGACTAATCCAACAACGAGGCAATCCAATTTTCATCTGAATATTAGTATTTTCATTAATAAAATAAATACGATATATTTAAATTTCTGTGCTGAAGACTTTACTTAATAAAAAAAATTATTTTCATAACAATATTATGAGTTTTTTCGATTTTTTGTTTTTTTTTTTCGGTTTTATTTTTTTATTTTAAATTGTATGCTACACATTGATCTTGCAATCGAATTGGGTAAAAATCACGAGGCTGCCAAATTTTTGCGCCACCACTTTGCCGATTATATCATTCCAAAAATAAAATAAAAAATTTTCAAAAATTTGTCAATGTGCCATTTTAATGCGAGGCACCTAGGGATGGAAAATGTTTTAAAACGGAATGTTCAAAAACATGTTCGTTTGATTTAAAACTGGTTTTAAACATTCTGACGTAACAATGGGATAGTATTTATTTATTTAACTAATTCGTCAAAATACAATTTTATCGTTATCTCTTTTTAAAATATAAAATTATAAACAATCATGTTTCGTGAGATCTATTAAAAGAAATTCGCTGAACTTTACAAAAGTTACGAAAACTGCACCTCGTCAAAAGTGTCGCCAAAAGTGTAACTATTATGGAGAGGACTTTGTGAATTATCATTATATAAATGCAAAAAGCTTTAAATAATCAACGGGTAAAAAAATTGTGCAGTCTATCAGAATTTAAGAATTCAAAAAGGAATTGAGATTGATGGTTGGTTCGAAGATGACGATAATTAAATTTATAAAAAAAAAAGAAATTATATATATTAAGCAATTGCGCATTTCTTGTAATTATATAATAGCGAAGTTATAAGTAAATATTTTTTCTTTAAAAGTTATTTATGAAATTTGGTGAATCAGCATTTTAACACTAAATTTTAAATTTTAGTCTCAGCGCCAATGTTTTAAAAAGTTTTTTAAAAAGTTTTAAAACATCTAAAAAACGGTAATTTGAGCTGCTTTGCGGCACGTGTTCGCTTGCCAAATTACTGTTATTCAGAGACACGGAAAATTATTTTCCAAACTTTTCACAACCGGCGGTGATCATCACTGCCCTTAAGTTTAGGATTAGGTAAGGGTATAGTTTTGAGGTTCTGATAGAATCTCCGACTTTACAATATCTGATATAGTATCTATAAATAAAAATATTTTTATTGGTCCAAAATCGCCTTTTGATTACATGGAATAATTAACTATGGCGCGGATCTGCGATAGTACAGTACCAGAATTGCAATTTTTATTTCGTTTTCTGGATTTAGTAAATTATAGATGACCCACCATTTGGCACAGAGGTGTGATGAATAGGCATTTACTAATTAATTATATTAGTTAACCACTATTCATCACTCCATGCCAAGATTTTGAAATTTTCTAACCGAATTACAAGGCAGGCAGAATTTGGGGTAGAAATGAGGAGCTACAGATCAGGGACGCGGATCACTACTAGTCATGTGACATAGCTTAAATTACAAGTTAACTTCGTAATAACGTCAAAATTCCAAAATTTTGCTCAACAGTATCGGTATTGTTTACTTATTGAACCATTGATCAACGAATGCAGAAATGGTTCAATTTGTGTAACAAAAAATAGAGGTCGTCACGGGTAGATCCACCAATTATAACAAAAAGCTAATTAATATACAAAAACAGGGATAAATATCGCGTAATACTGTAATAAACCCTTTGTTCACCAATTCAGTTATAAAAAAAAAAGCTCGTATGTTATGCGTCTTCTCCATCCCAATACTTTAAGAAAAAAACTATGGTAAAAATAAGTTAAACACCAAAACAATCGTTTCTATTATTTCAAGGTCGCTTCACCACTGGATACGAAAACATTAATGGGTATAAGAAAAATATATACGTGGAAAAATTTAAGAAAAAACTATGGTAAAAATAAGTTAAAAACAAACCCAATTTCTTTGCTCAGAGTGTTTTTATTTAAAAAAAGTTTCGTCGTTTCTATTAACCAGGTCCTTACGTAATTAAAAAAAAATTTTCCACTAGTCGAAGGTAAACCAGGTCCTTACGTAATTAAAAAAAAATTTTCCACTAGTCGAAGGTAACGAACGAGCTATCAACAGTAAGATGGTCTTCCTTTGAAAGTTTCAGAAGGAATCACATTTTTCCAAAATCTCACAAAGATACAAATATCTGGGCCTGAACAAGAGTTTTTCATCGCGATGAAGGTGTTGGAAAGAACATTCACCCACACGATCGGCACCAAAATGTTGTAACCAGGGAGAGACTTATGCGAGATGAGTTGGTAGGTAAAGGTTAAAATACATTGTTTATTATACAACACGCGGAATTCCTTTTTTTCCTTTATTAATTAAGCGTTATATTTTTACGTTTCATACCTCATGTTTTTTCTTTCCAACAGCACTGTCCATCAACATCGCCAATTTTATTTGCCTCCATATACCATTCGGAGGCTTTTTCATAAGGCCACGCACAGAATCAACGGCCGGTCGGTCGGATTTTTATTTTTATTTTATTTTTATTTTTTAAATCTACAGTAATCAAACTCATATTCATATTTAAGGTCTCGCATAGTTAATTTTTCGCTTTGCATAACATGGAATCAGAAAATTGGGTCGGCAATCGAATTTATTTTATCAGTTCTATCGGATAATTCCAGAAAAATAAGATCTCAATCGAGTGATACCGGATTAATTTATGAAAAAAAGATTAAATTGCAAAAATAGAACAATTGGCACAATTGGAACCTGAAAAAAATTTTTTTTTTCGAAAATTGAAAAAATGGATCGGCGGGTAATGCAAAACGAAAAATTTAACTTTGTGTGATCTAATCCTTAGCATTGGGGCGTTCATTTTCGGCAGATTTCGAAGATCACATGAATTCCTTTTCATCTTTATCGGTACTTATTCTATTACTATAGTCCATATCAGATTTTTGATAATGAATGAACGCTTTTTGTTCATTATTTTCTACATCAACTTCTACAGCTTTCTGTCCGTCGAAAAGGTTGTGTTTTACGGCGAAAACTAATCTACTATAAAAAAAACATCAGTATCAACTGGCTAAGACTCTAAAACCTAGAGTTGGAAGCAGAAGAGAGGCGTGGAAAACTTGGTCCGAGTTTCGAGGTCTTCGAGTCTTGCTGCGGCACGACTTAATGATAAGATAAGTATAGCCTTGAGATCTTCTTTTACCAGGTATATTTTATGCTCCATTTGAGGCTAAAGGAACCTTCTCTTCTTGAATTTAGCGCAACCGGGATTCTATATTCGACTTCAATAGTTAAGATTTTTAACGATTGTCATATGATCACGTGTTTTCGAAATTGGATGATTTTAATAGTGACGACGGAAATTCGGTCTTCCGGGACAACCTAGTCCAACACACAAACAAAGCCAGACGACCTGTCGATAGAGGCGTGCTATATTTGGCGAGTAAATTAAGGCTTCGGTCGTCGACACTAAGGGATAACTCTATCAACAATCAACCACCAGTACGTCGGGACACTGGACACAATAACCACGACTGGGACCTTCCACTTGGACCTCAAACCGGAACAACTACCAATCCACGGTACGTTGGGAGAGTTGGACAATAACCATGGGAGTTTCTCAGTCCGTCGAGAATCAACCGGAAAAACAATCACAGGAGAAGTCACGTGAGCAAGACAATTAACGAGCGAAGGTTTCTCACTATACCACTTAGTGAACGATTTGGGTGAAAAGTATTTAGTATAACGGATTCTTTAAAGGGTTATATGGGTCAAAGGTATTATTTTGGCACGATAATTGTGAGCAGCCCGAAACTTATTTTCCTTAGGGCCTTCACGGCCTTTATTTAGAATCAAAGTTTTGGGATTACAATAAGTTTGATATATTTGATATATTTGATATATGCGCTTTGGTCCGTGATCCCGGGTCACACTTGGGCCGCAGTAGGTAGGTCAATTCCGGGGCTCACATTTCTCCCCACTTAAAGTCGAGTTCCACGAGACGTTATTCTCAAGTTAGAAATCGATAACAGGGTTTTCAGCATGGGTCGATAATTTCTCTCGGGTTAAATATAGCGGTTGGACGACCATGATCGAAGACTATGGTCCTGTCCCATCGTGGTAAGTCTAGGTTGGCTCTTTTTATCCAGTTCTTCGTCATGAGTTTACTGTTGCTTGATTTACTTACCTAATCTTCTCTTTGTCTCTATTGCATAGGCATCGGGTCTTGATCTTCACATACACGTTCGGGAGTCCTCTTCTTTGTCCCACATACAGTTTCACAGACTTTTGCATGACCTCAATTCGCTTTAAAAATTTAATAATCCTCTTTTTCCACTTTTGCAAGACTTCTTTCGCTCCGATCGTACAGTCCAGCCGGGTCGAATTGGCCAATTGTACTAATATCTTCAGTGTGTTTCCAACACCATCTAATCGCTTCGTCATTTTCACCAACCTCGTGCTCGTAACAGTACCCAACTTTAAACGTTTCGTCAGCATCACCTGATCCTGCCGATTTTTGATAACAATTGATCGCCTTATTCTCATCCATTTTAACTTCGATTTCGTCTCGCCAAGAATTATCAGCATGTGACGATTCTTCGGCTTTGGCAGGCTCTTTTACTCCTTCTTTATCACCAATATCAGCAGGTTTTCGATAATGGTTGACCGCTTTATTTTCGTACGGTTCGACTCTGATTTCTCCTCGGTCATCACCATTCGTCGTATCTTCTTCGGTTTCGGCAGGTTTCATCCCGGTAGGCTCTTTTACTTCACTCACAGTTTTTCGAAATTCGTCAACTCTTTTAATCCACAATTCGTAGGCATGATCATACTTCTCTTTTTCGGCAAGTATCTTTACATTACCTTTATCCTCTTCTTCAGCAATCGTTTCGTCGTCATAATTTACATCGTCGGGTTCATTATTCTTGCCCATATCGTTTCCTTCAGCCGACTTCCGGTAATCAAGTTTTTTATCACCTCTTTCAGTTCTAATTCCAGTTTGACACCGATCTTCCGGGTTTTTTATTTCATCAGCGTTATTCATACCCGCAGGGTTTTGAGAAAGATCGGGTACTTCACATGCATCTATTTCGACGTCACGTCCTTTCTTTTCGGCATTTCGACTTCAATTCGATTTTGATAACAGTTTCCAATGTTAGACGTGTCTTCGGGCCTTGTCGATAAGCTTTTCATTTGTTTTTCTTTCTTGGTTCAATCCATCTGATTCCGTTCTGATAGCAATGTTCTTCTCATCTGATGCCTTATATTCTTTCTTTTTGAGATCAGCACTTTCTTTCAATTTCTCGTTTACACCATCGTTATCTTTTTCGTCGGCTTCGTCAGCATCCATGCCATCTAAGTTGAAATCTTC